TTGAAATTAGCAGAAGGGTTTTTCAAATGAGTTTCTGGCTGGTGCATAATTAACTTCGTTAGCAGGTGGTTGCTTTCAGAGACTTAATTGATCTCGTTAATCCGAGACTCGACGACTGGTGTGGAGGTGGTGATAAGCTCCGTTCCACGAAATTTGCTTTTTTCTTTTATATATAATTATACATGTATGTATATGTAGTATGTATTAACACATTTACAATCTGGTACATAATAATTGTCGAGTATAGTGTGAATATATTGAGCGTAATTACGAGTTCAAAAATCATCGACGACTGTGATGTGCATTCACTTTTGTTTCTCGAATTTGGAAATTATGGACGGTCGAAGGGGAGACTGTTGAAATGTCAACGTTCAAAATTGAAAAGATAAATCTACGCGATTTCTGAGAAACTTTAAATTCCGAATTTTTCGATTTGCAATATTCCCAAATCCTTTTTTTCAAAATATTGGGACTCAACGGTGATTAATTTTCGTCACATCTTGTCTTCGAATCCTTGAACTCTCCTCGTTCGAGGGCCCCAACCACCATGCTGCCAAAAAGATTTCGTGAAAACCCGAAACACAAGATTTTTCCAAATTATCGAATTTCCTGATTTTTATCTGTACCAAATTAGGGGGAAGGGGAACTTTTTCGGCAGACTAGGGGTTGAAGTATCTACTGTACAAGAGCTACTATCAGAATGTCATAGTTAACGTCATATTCACGGGGAAGACACCCAGTATATAAATATATGTATATATATACGTGTATGTATATGTATATACGGCACTGCTGATCGCTGGTAAATAGTTTTTCTCCAAGTTTCTATTTTTTTTTTTTATTCTTTGTCGATAAAGCGTCTATCTGAAAGAGGTGCGAAAAGTACACACGATGTTCTTTTTTTTTTTCTTCATTATCATTTCGCGTTACTGAGCTAATTAATCCTGTTAATTAACTATGTTAACGAACTCGTGCGCTACGCTTCTCTTATAAAAATATTCAACCGTATAACCAACCAGATGAATCCCATAACGTTCTTTCCTCTTGTTGGTCATACTGAACGCAACGGAAAAGAAAGCATTCCTAACCTCACTTTAACCTCGTTCTCCGGCCGGTCGCCATTTTCTTTTCGTCGAAAAGTCAACCCTTCGAGGTCAAGATCGTTTGATTAAAAAAATAAATCACTATCAGAAGCCCAGCTGTATACATAATATATATGTATGTAATATATATATATATTTCTATAAGTTGTTCGTATCAACGTTTGGCAATAACAACAAGCGCGGATAATTCGAGGGATGGGCCTGAAAGGGTTGATCAGAGCTAATCGCACAATGAAAATGATTCGCTGAAAATAAATTTGATTTGAGAAAACAACCTTCGGTTTCTTTTTTGTTTTTGTTGTTTTTGTTTTTCTTCTTATTTCTGTCCTCCTCTAAGCGTAGTATAACCTCTCTTAAAAAACTTTAGAATCATTTTCTTTGTTTGTGTGTGTGTGTGTACGTGTATATAACTTGGTTTAAATATTCCTCGACGATTTAAGAAAGTTACAAATTGAAACTGACTCTCTTTTTTTTTTCTCTCTCTCTTTGGCAAATATGTATAACACGACCTTAACATATATGCAGGAGTCGAGGAGAAATTTGAAAGAAGGACCGAGCGGGAGAATCGAACACGTGACATCCGACCGACAAACCGAGACTCTATTCACGTAGCCCTCTTTATTTCCTCGCTATTATTGTTCTTTTTGATGGGTATGGAAGTCCCGATAATCCCAACATGTACATATACATATATGTATGTAAGAATTGTGTTACCACTATTTGGTTATGTAAGAAAATCCGTTCCGAATATCGCACGCAACTCTATGACCCCGGCCCACTAGGATCTTCACCTTAACCTCTTGTGCTGGAATGACGTGTTAGACACGTCGGTCGTCGGTTATCTTCTTTCTCACTTACGAGAAAATTTGCGAAAAGTTATAAAAAAAATATTTTTTTATTTCATGGATATGGCACTTTTTAATGCTTATGTTTAATTTTGTTAGAAAAGAAGATGTAGAGTATGTGCAAAAAAAAAAACAAAAAACGCAACGAAACTACCTGGGAATGCAAGCAATGTTTTGTTGCGTTACATATCCCAGATTGTTTTGAAATGTATCACTTACGGTTTTTCCCCGGTCAGTTTCGCGCGGGAAACGTGCAAGAATCGGGCAGGGCAACACGAGTCCTTACACTTTACAGAACCACCGGACATGTATTTCGGCGAACGACGCTTAAACCACGCGATCACAGTCTTGTAGAAAGTAAAAACATTTGCGGGAATGTAGAAACGTTCGAGTAATTTTTCGACCACCCTATTTCCGGCTCGGGGTGTCTCCGACAGTTATTATTGTTCTTTGTTTGATTATTTATATTAATGTATTTATCAACTAAACTGCGAGCGGTCATTGAACGAGTACGAGTTGCTATGTAATGTGTGATTGCGCTAAAGTACTAAAGTTGTGTTGAGACATATTGTAAAATATTTTGTTAAACGTTTTCACACTTGTGGCACCATTTTTTTTTTTTTTTACCCATACCTATCAAAAGGAGCAATAACAAGGAAGAAATGAAGAGGGCACCTTAGCTATGGGCGTAGAGTCGCGGTTTGCTGACCCGAATGTCGCGGGTTCGATTCTCTTCCCGGCTTTGGTCCCTCAAATTTTTCCTGGGCTCCTATATACGTATGTATATATATTATATACGATTAAATGCTGTCGACTATGGTGTAATAATATATAGTATTAGTAGTAGTACATTTCGTTATTGTTTCTCCTGTTCCGTCGTTATTATTGTAATTGCTATGGCAGGACCCTGGGGAAAGAAGTGGTCTATGGCAGAGTCTCCATGGATATCCCTTTATGGGACCACGTGAAATATTTAGTTCGTTAGTTTTTAAGGAAAAATTGCCAATGGATGGAAATAACGAACATCTTCTAATAAATAACACTATATACTTAAAATGATAATAAACTATACTAAGAAGAAGAAAAAATTGGCGCCATGGCAGCCATATTGGTTGGCTACCTTTCGTCACAAATTTCTTCAAATTATAAAATCACATTGTAAAGCAAACCCTGAAATTGAAAATTCCAAAGTATACGTAAATCGTTAATTTTCATGGAAGAGGACACCCAAAGGCCATTTTTTCCTGGGTCCTGGTATAATTACGTTTTGGAACGCTTATTACCGGTGTAAAAAAAGTCGTGGACGTATATATAGCTTCTGTAAGAGAACATGATTGACGTATTTTCATTTTTTTTTTTTTTTTTTTTTTTTTTTACCAACAACGATACTTCATACTCTTATTTTTCTACTGTCTCGACATCCGCCAACAACAAACTACACTTAACTCACGATACTTTTGTATGTGTACATGACGCTATGTATAATACGTGTCTAAATAAGTATTTAAGTAACTATATAATAATCGTTTGCACGAGTCCTGGACTCGAATCTGTTGCTTTTTGTTCTGAGTTTTCTTTTTGGCACGAATTTTACAACTTCTCGAAATTTTGATTTCACGCGACAATATTTTTTGTTTTTTGTTTTCTCTTGGGGACTTTGAGTGTCAGTCCGGGGAGAAGGAGGAGCTGGAATGACAGTAATAGAGTCTACCATATCGGATTCTAACTTAGAATAAGTAAGATTCCCCTAAAAGGCTAGATTAAACTAAGTTTTGTTGGTTAAGTACTTGTGCCTACCCGCTGGAAAGCGTATGTAAAGTATTTCGTCCAATTTCCATGGTGTAACTGCCCATAGAAATCGATATTTCACAATTTAGAATATTTTTCATGGTCGGAGAGTCAATCTTGGTTCGTTATTTTAGAGACACTCTATACGGAGCAAATTCAGTGCAGAAAAGTATTCGCCAATAGACGCTAAAAATCGCGGTAAATAATCGGAAAATGTCATTGATTTTCTTTTTCTACGAATAAAAAAATTCGTACAAGTATAAAAGAGGGATCGTCCCAAGCGAATTTTCTCTTTTGACTAGATCGAGTTTTCTTTTCGTGCGCCATCTTGCTCATGTAAAATTGCGCTTCGACAAACATACACGGTTACGCATTCACGCTTATACTCTATTTGTAATACTGAAAAATCCGTCGTTTTGTATTTTTTCTTTTTTTTGTTTCTTCTTATCATTTTTGACAAATGTATTGCGCTTAACTAGATTCTTACACGTGCACCGAGGTTGAATCACAGAATCTTCGATAGAACCGTCGTATTGCAAACAACGACGCTTCGCGAAATACATATTCGCGAACAGGGCGACCAAAGGCTGCCGGTACCATTATTGTTTCTTCTGTCTTTGGTTGCCGTTCTTGATTGACTTTACAAAATATTTTTCGCAGTTTTGCCGTTTTTTTTCTTCTTTCTCTCTCTGAACTATACTCACATTCACACTCACACGAATATTTTCTCTCTCATGTTGTACTAGTTTCGCTTCTTTTTTTTTTGTTTTTTCTTCACACGAAAAATATGAAACATCTCGTTTGTGTATATATATAAAATAAAATATAAATTGGCAATAACGTTTTGTGTGGCTAGACAAATTGCTCGCGCTGGCAAATACATAGGAAACATCGATCGCTTCTCTCTCCTTCCTTCTCCTCTTCTTTTCTTTCTTTTTTGTCCACATGTCTGTGTTGCGTATGTGTGCACAAGATAATCGATATTACCCCCCCTCCTCCACTGCTAAACTCTATCACAACTGTACGGGAAAGTTTTTTACCCGCGTGTCCAGAGAGGACACTGAGCAAAAAGACGATCACATCTAGGTCAGAGTGGGAGATTAATGAGATCACCCGGTGGTAGAAATCGATCCCAGAGTCGTCTCTGTACACATCTTATATCAATTGCTATAAAACATCGACGGTCTTGCGTTCCCCTCTTATTGTGCAACACTTCAATGAATTTATCTAAAACGGTTAGGTTAGATCTAGTCACACTTCAGGGTTACTTGTGAGATTTCCAAGATGGAGGGGATCCTCTCGTGGACACCTATGAATTATTCCTGTTGGCTGGTTCATCTCTGAGAGGGCTCGCACTGTTCGTCCGGTGGCTGCATAGTTAAGTACGTGGGCTGTGTGTCCCTAAAGTGGAACCTAACAAGCAGAGCCAGAGCCCCCAAGACAACAGGAAGACCGCAAACTGCACAGATCAGCTCCCCTGTCACTTCAGGCGACCATATGATGAATCCTAGAATTGAAACCAGAAGAATTCCTCGTTCAAATCCTGAATTTCTCTCAAACCGTGAGAGCTATTTTTTCACCTACCACCATGGATATCCATCTTGTAGATGCTCCACCAGATGCCTGACAAGGGCAGAGAGGCTGTGGTTGCAGCCACAGTAAACACTGCACTCTCTGACATGGACAGGAAGTTCAGTATCGAGACGGAGAAGACTATGTACGAAATCAGGAAAATCCAACCGTGGGTGGAGATGTTTGAGCAGCTGTCTAGGTTCTTGAAGTGGCAGGTGAGTCCGTGTTCTACCGTACGATACAGTTCCATCGGGGATAGACCCTGAAGATTGAATGGAAACAGATGATTTCAGTGACAATAAATGGTTATAACGATGGATCATGAACTAAGTCTGTTCACGTACCCTGCCTATTCCAGGCACAGTGTCTATCCAACACATAGACAGAATGGCGAAGAAGGCTATCAGATGGATGTAGAACAGTGTTTCCAGAATTGGTGGTTTCGGGATGTGCTTTGGCTTGACTGTGGGGTCAGGGTCGGTCACGTGGAGCAGCCGGCCACCCTCTTCCTCGGATCCTCGTCTACGTATGTCCCTGGAGGACACCAGTCTCGACACAGTGTACAAGAACGAGTTCTGCTGGCTAGCCACTATCTGACACATGTTCTGTTGCTGCAACATGATATTTCCTTAGAACTAACGTCGCCTTTGAAATTTGTCGCACAAATATCAACCCTTTGCACCCGCTCTTTAGTTCGATTCTTCTATGCCACGCCAGATTTACAGGTTGCTCTTAGGAGGCCACAAGAAAATTTTTATTATTCTAAGCGTAATATTATATTATTATTTAAAAAATTCAAAATAATGAACAGTTAGCTATGATGTTCGAAATTTTTAGTCGACGATATTCATTTTATTTTAATTATTCTAAATGTTTGAGGCACTCCGGTCACTGATGGCCACCGTAGCTCCATCGAGGAAACAATCTCCGGTCACAGGTGACCAACGTAGCAGTGAACGTGTCAAATATTCACCTCGGTAATATAGTAGCCCTCCAACAAGGTGAAGAACATAGCAAAAGCAGCCAATGCGCCCACGTAGACGAAGGTCCAAATCGCCTTGATGCCCCAGGAGGCTCTGGTAGACGTCGTGTGGCTAGAGACCTCTCTTCCCCTACACCTGAACTCGTCGCAGAGGCCATAGTCGACGGTGAAGAAGAGACCGCCAATTATGGTAGTGGTGGTGAAGATCCTCTGCAAGCTCATCACTGCAAAAAAGAAAAAAAGCCAGTTTAATTGGCAATTGTTCGACAAGCTGGTGAAATATCGAGGTCTTACTCTTGCGACAGAAGAAGAAGTAGTAAACCAAGGAGAAGACTAGAGTGATCCCTTTGATGGGGTCCTGAAGATGACAAGGAACCCTGTCTCTATCCAGACAAAGAGTGATCACTATGCCAGAGAGGGCGTAAATCGCGCTAATCTTAAACAGATCGCATCGCGGGATCTTAATTCTCATGCTGTTTGGTATCAGAGGCGGCGGTGGTGATATTCTCCCAGCTACGAACCATATCAGCCCGAGGATGATAGTGGAGGTGAAAGCAGTGAAGAGGAGACCTGCGGAGGAGGTTAGTAAGCGTCGCACAGAACTGACATGTTACAAATATGAATAACGTTCAACCGTTTGCTTCCAAGTGGTTTTGCTACGAAACCGCTATTTCATATTAATTTTACCAGTGGTTACCTGGGTTGGAAACGGAACCACCTTTAGTTCTTGAAAACATATTCTTCTTATACAGGGTGTTTCAAAACACGTGGGCGTAACTTGAGGGATGGATTCAGTACGATAAAATAAGAAAAAAAGTTCGTATAAACCCGATATGACCTTGTTTCCGAATTATAGCCGTGGATTGGTCGTGAAGAGCCAATTAATTGGCCAGTACGATCACCTGATCTAAATCCATTGGATTTTTATTTGTGGAGGCACCTAAAGTTTTTGGTTTACAACACACCGGTAAACAATGTCGAGGAACTGCGACATCGTATTCAAGACAGCTGTCGGTGAATTCAAACTGTAGCGACCCTTCTACGCTCTGCCACCAGAGGGACGGACTAACCACAGATTCTCGCTAGTCCTCATAAAGGCTCCTATTTGTATATATACACCTTCTGACCTAAGTCTTTCCAGTCCCTCCCGCACAGTGATGACGTTTGGAAGCTCGCATTCTAGCCGAGGGCAGTGTGCCCACTTCGAACAATTTCTATGAAAATTGTTTTCTTATTTCAGCGCACTGAATCCATACCTATAGTCATGCCCACATGCTTTGAAACACCCTGTATATCGAGTCTCAAAGGGTTGAAGGAACGTTTACTCTGTTGCAAGGTTGCCATTTCTAAATTTTCTCGTACTTTTCTCCAAAGACACCCGGTAGCTAATATGATTTAGAGTCACTATAAATATTGCTATCGTTGAACATTTCGATTGCTCGTTCGCGTAATCACACTCTCATCGAGACAACGCTAAGCATCTGTTTAAAAATGATACGAAAGGAAAATATTGTCCGGCTAATTACCTTCGACGACTCCGATCATCCCTCTGTATCAACACAGAGGGATTTATCAGTGATCGTCATTGATCTGGGTACCTGTGTAAGCGTTGGAAACGTTGCTAACGCTCCCCTGATAAAGAGGGTAGGTGATAATCAGAAACGTGATCGAGACGATCACGGTGAGAAGAGTAGCGACGAAGCTGAATTTTTGCCAGGCCGCTCTGTCCGTGTCGAACAGCTTATCGCCAGCCTGATAAGTGACATATGGCGACTCCTCGGTGTCCGTGTACTCCTCGATCTCGACGTCACTGCCTGTGCAACGTAGCTCCTGCTGCTCTTCGTCGTCGACCATCGTCGAGACGCAGCCCGTTAGTCCAGCCAGCTTCGCGGTTTTTCTTTTCCGTTCACCTTGCTGGGAAAGTGGAAGTAAAGCCACGTTGTTCAGATGGTCCATTCGTTTACAACAATAGGTGTGTGGCATTAGAGGATCTTCGGTGGCTCGATTTAAGGGGGTATTCTAGTCTAGAGTGTTATTTTTTAGTCCTTCTTAGGGAATTTTTTGTAAGAAAAGTATAAGTTTCTCGGTATCGGCATTTTGCATACATATTTATTCATGTTTTAAGAAAGTTCACAATTTTTTTCAAGTGAAAATAATCAAAACTGTCTGAATTATATATCATTCAGTGCGGTCCCTTTAAAAAAAAAGTGTCCTACCAGCTGACACGATTCCGCCCATTCTGTTTTTCCGAAATGAAAAAATCAAAAGGATTCTTGATTAGTACGAATGTGATTATGGTGTGAACCAGAATGAAAAAAAAATAGTGAAAATTTACAAAATGGTGCCACTTTGAATTTTGAATATCGATTTCTTCGACTTTTTTTCGTCTTTCAGAGGCTATAAAATTCAGAAAAATATATATTTTAGCATAATTCTGGTTCGGACGCTAACGGCACGTCCACTAAAGGTGCACGTAAAATTTGGAGTCAATCGGACAAGTAGAACTTGAGATATCATATCGGCCATTTAGAAAAACATAGTTTGGAGAAAAACGCGTTTGAAGTTTCTCATACCAGTTACACGAGAATGGTATACTTACGACTACGGGCTACATATCGTTTTCTTTAACCATCTATAACCTCGTCAATTTTACGAATTCGGAAAAATCCTTCGACAGTTATACTTCTGCAAATGTCTACTTTCAGAAAATGTCAAAAAAATCGATTACTTTGAAAAGTCTAGACTAGAATACCCCTTTAAAAAACTGAAGTGGGAATTGTGATTCTCGAGGAGTATGTAGATGGCGTAGCAACTGTGCGGAGGGAATGTCCAGATATTAAGAGGATAATGAAGTAAGTAGTAGGAAATATTGGAGATACTAGCTGAGAATAAAGTATTTAGATATTTGAGCCGTTTAACTCAAAAGTGGCGTAAGTCAATTTTTTGCCTTTTTCAGTTAACACCACATCTCGAAAGATTAACCTTCCTTCTGTTTTGTGCAGAAATGATGTAAGGATATCTTCATTAATTTCTCGGCAAAATAAGTAAGAACCACCCACTCGAATGGCACGGACGTTATATGCAAATATGGTGTAAGTCAGACTTTGGTGTGAGATAAATGACTTCTGGCTTTCGAAGAAGAAGTGAGCGATGAATAAGAGCTTAACGTCATCGCTATCCACAAAGTTTCTGTGTCATGCTTATTATTATTTTTCAATTTAAATTCATAACAATGTAAACCACGTTTTATACATTTTTTCCAAATAATTTGTTTGATAATTAATGAAGCGGCAGAAACATAATGTCTACCTCAACAAACAGATCCCTTTTCTATTACGTCTAATAATAATTACCTTCCTGGTTCGCACGAAAACGGTGTAAGTCAGAAGAATATTGAATGAAATGATTATATATACACTTGATTTTAAAGGCAAAATGGCATTACTAGCTTAAGGTATAACTATACAGTGGCTCACATAAAAGAGATTTAACATTCTTTCATATTCCTGAATTTTACATAACTTTTACTTTATCCCTCATTATCTAGAAATCGCTTTTCTTCACTTACACCACTTTCGCCTTAATTCACTCGGATACTAGCAGAGAAAACGTCCTGCAGAAAGTAACAGAAGAAACGTAACACTTGTAGAAAATAGTGGTATGTGCTACGTGTTTGTCCCTTAGATCAGGGGTTCCCAAAGTGCGGCCCGCAAACACTAGAAATGCGGCCCGCGATGGCAGATCAGCCGCGATCCTGAATTTACAGAGATAATTTACATTTTTACAAATAACTAAATAAATTTTATCATATTATAATTAAACATTGTTCAGTTAAAAATATACTAAATTTTATATGTAATATATCTTGTTATTATATAGATTGTATCTATTTCATTGTCTTAATGGTCCGCCAAATATTTTGGAATTTACAATTTGGCCCACCTAGTGTAAGAGTAAAGAATTACAAGGGGTTTAAAACGACAGATATTAAAATGACGTTGGTTCGCTCGTCGATGGTTAGGTACGATAATGTGTGGGCCGCTGCCCTTTTTCCCGTTTTTATATGCTTCTTCGGCCGTTAGGGCTCTGCAAGCCGTGGGGTGGGGGGTGCGCCTGCGCTGCTCCTTGTCTAGGGTCCCCTGCGGCTCGGGTCCCGCGGTCGTTGCCTAGGCGCATCGCCCTTACACTAGGCAAAACTTTGGGAACCCCTGCCTTAGATACTAGCAGAGAAAATATGACACTATGAACCAATTATTGATATACTAGTATAAAATCTAAAATTATGGTACAGCGTAGCTGTCCTTCAAACACTAGCGGAAGAAACGTGATACTATGAACGTAACACTGAGATACTAGCAAAACTATGTTTGCACCATATGATTATCCATCAGATGCCAGCAGGAAAAACATAGTAGCATATACAAACTCATTACGACGCGTTACAACGTTTTTCAATTTTCCAACAGGAACAAAGAAAATACGTGTACTTTGCAAGAGTCAATACGAGAAACGTAGGTACGCACGTACAACGTTTATGCAGCGTATTCAAAGCGCGATTAAAAGATTGATCAGAGAGAAACTGAGAGAGAGAAAGAGAGAGAGTGTGTGTGAGCCATTTGCAGGCACGCGAGACAATTCAGCAGTCGTTCGTTGGATCGATTTGCCTTTTTTCCCCCCTTTTTCTCTACCCTCTGCATTTTTCGTTCTCCCGTCCTTGCATCAAGGAGCACGATTAACGAGCACGTTGCATGCACGCGGCACGCTCACCTATGTACACTTTATGCCCACCAGAGAGAGATTAGATAACCGTTCTCTGCTTTATCGTTGCACCAGAATCGGGGAATTTCGTGCACGCCCCTTCCCCTTCGCCTCTACACAAATCACTGTGCAAAGAATTAATATTTTCCCTTCACTTTTTCTCTCCCTTTTATACGCTTTAAAGAGAATTCCTCGAGAATTTCATGGCGTTTCGCGATAACGCTGGATTATTATTGTACCATAATCTAACCTTAACGAGGGTTTTCTTTCTTTTTTTTTTTTTCGGGGCAACGAGCCACGTCGATGGTCATTTTGTGGTCTTTCCTTCTTCCTCCTTCTTTCATGCGACGTACAATGTGCAGAAATAATTTCTTGCGAATAAAAAAGGGCAAGAACTGAGATAGAAAAAAAATTAATAAAAAGAGGGGGGAAATTGTGGTTGATTTTTTCTTCTTTCTTTTTCTCAGTGAAATATAAAATCGAGAGAGATTTTCTGTTTAGAGTATTACACTAATATTTTTTTCTTTTTTGTTACATATTGTATATTTTATTATATCGAGTTTCTTTTCCAACAAAAACTGTACACAAAACCGTGAATCCAACTTATTCCCCTGATGCAAGCTTTTCGATGACCAAACATTAGCAGCACAACGGATCAGCCTTCCGAAACTCGCAAAAAATTGAAATCAAACACCGTCGTTCTTGCAAGATGACGGAGTGTTTTGTAACACGACACCATGGGTGTACATTTCCCGATCAGCCAAGCATGTCTAAAGAGCATGAGACACAATATCGTATCGATGATACTTCCAGTTTTTTCTTCCCTTCAACGAAAAAAAAAACCATTTCTGACAGAAAGTTAATGGAGGAACTATGAGCGACGAGGGGGAGAGAAGGGGAGGGAAAGTAAAACCTGCAAATGAACATGTCAGCACAACCTAAGTGAATCTAACACAGGATAGGGTATTAACCAAAAATGTATTAAAGTACAGTGATAAGCGACTGCTAAATGCTTCGGTGTCCGTCTCGCTCGACGGCTATTTCCAAAGTGTCCTCTCCGCGTTGCTCCGAAAAACCGTTGGAGCCCCCTCGTTCGACTTTCCGGGGAAAAGGGCTTAGTTTATGGTACCCTCGGGTACCCGCGCGCTTTCTCTTCCTGGGTTACAAAGTCCAGGCCACCACTTCGCCGCCGAAATCTCGCATTTCTTCCAAATATTAAATCGCGAACCTTTCATCCCTGACGGACGTTGTATTTAATAAAGAAAAGTAAATTCACTTTAAAATCGAAATATCCTTTTCCATTTAACTAATGAAACTTATTTACATTTCTCCGTTGTTTTTTTTTTCTTTTTCGCTTTTTTCTTCCCTCGACGAGGGACTGGTTCGTAGAAATTGGTAAAATTAATGGAACCTGTCAAAGGAAGGCACACTTTGTACGTACGTATATTACATTTAATTCTGTTCCAATTTAATTAAACTGACATACGATACTATGTATAATTGAATTAATTAGATCGGGAAAAGTTTCTCTCCGTCTCTTATCCCGAGCAAACAAATTATCCATCCAATTTATGGAAATACGTCATGTTGTTGTTTTTTTTTTTTTAACACTGTATGCAGGACATTTTGCAACGGAAGAGGAGAAACTTTTATTAAACATGGACAATCGATCGACTGTTCCAGAAACAATTAATACCGCGTT